AAACTTTTCCCTCCAAAAGGTCCAGAGCGAATCCACAAATCTTTGTTCCTATGGTTAATATAATTTGATTTTTTTTAATTAACAGATTTGGCTTGGATACAAGTCCTTTGAGTCATGTCTTCGTTTAATTTTCGGGATCTTCAGTAATATTTGCCATTGTATTCATAAGAGTAGGTCTCGTTTGTATGAGCTATATGCTATGAAAACTTATAATACTAATTCCAATTTTATAGAATATGCTAGAAATTATTCAAAAATCTTTAATAAAATATGTGTAGGTAGCTGCTAAAGTTAAGTTTCACAGCGGCAAAATTAGACAAACGATAAATAAATCTAAAAGTACTTGGAGCATAATAAATAAAAAGGCAGGGTTAAACAACACGATAGAGATATAGTTTTAGAATTAGATCGCAAACTTATACAATCTAAAGACAAGGTAGCCCAAGCTTTCGCTCTTATCGGAAATTGCTGTGAACACTACAGAATCATTAAATGCCTCCTCTTCTCTTGCCATTGATCTCCTAAAGGAAAATGTTAACGTTTGTGGCAGTTTATTTAATTTCCGTCATTTTAATCCACAAGACATCATAAAAGCTTTTAAATCAATACCTGTTAAAAAAACTGAAGATCTCTAGGGCAGATCAACTAAAGTTATAGACTCGGGTTATTAATCTAATTTCCCCACATTTAGCTGTAGCTTTCAACAGGTGCGTTGACGAAGGTGTTTTTTCCCGATTTATTGACATACAGCAAGGTTATTCCCTTATTCAAAAGTGGTAGGAAAGTTGATCCTAGTAAATATAGGCCCATTTCAATTTTACCAGCTTTAAGTGAAATATTCGAAAAGGTTATGCTGATTCAATTACTGTCCTATTTCGGTAGGAATCATATTTTTCATAGTTCATAGGTTTACTAGTGGTAGATCGACTAGCGATGCGGGGGTAGCGTTAATAAAACACATCTTTGATGCTTGGGAAAGGTCCGAGAACGCTATTGGTTTTTTCTGTGTCCTCTCAAAGGCATTTGATTGCGTTGACCACATTACTCATACTAGGAAGCTGGAATATTACGGTGTAAATGGCAAGGCGTCGAAACTTGTCTCGTCATATCTCATCGGTAGCAGAAAGTAGACATAAATGGAGTGACTTCTTTGGGTTCTCAGTTAAAAAAATGGGTGTTTCGCAGGGCTCAATACTTGGACCTTTCTTATATTAATGATCTGCCATTCTTTGTTAAGGACAATTGCGAAATAGTATTGTTTGCTGACGACACATCCATGATTTTTAAAACAGACAGACAAGACAATGACTTTGACCATATTAATGATACCCTCTCTAAGGTACTTTATTGGTTGAATGCTAACAATTTATTGCTTAATGCCAAGAAGACAAAATGTGTTAAATTTCAATTACCTAACGTAAAATCGACTAGTCCAAACATAGAAATAAACGGAGAAACCTCCTTGAAACCTTGTTAATAAAGCAGTCTTCTTGGAAGTGACCTTAGATAGTAAACGTCAATGGTTTCCACATATATGTTCCGTGGCCAGATTAAGCTCCGCTGCATACGCAGTCCGCAGAATACGTGAGCTTACCGATGTTATTACTGCTAGACTAGTTTACTTTAGTTACTTCCATAGATTAATGCCCTACGGGATTCTCATGTGGTGTAAAGCGGCAGATATTCAAACCATATTTGTATTGCAAAACGGGCGATTCGTTCTGTGTACCGTTTAGGTTCTCGGGTATCTCCCAGAGAAAAGTTTAAGGAGACTGGTATCATGACTGTGGCATCATAGTACATTTACTCAAATATTTTATATGCCCGTAAAAATATACATAATTTCAATAAGAAAGAGGGTATCCATAATATTAACCTTAGAGCTAAGTCCAAACTCATGGTACCACGATTTCGTTTAACCAAGGTAAACGACTCTTTTATGGGGAACTGTATACGTTTTTACAATAATATTTCGGAGCATATATTAAGATTATCATTTCCTAAGTTTAAAAACTACATTAAAAATATTTTGATCGAAAAGTCATATTACAAAATTGAAGACTACGTATGGAAAGACGACACGGCTCCAGAATCCACACAAAGATTCAAAGTGTATTCCATAGCATTTAAGTTTATTTGAAAAGCAATCTCTAAAGTTTCTTGCTCGTTCTTCTCTGGGAAGTCGGCGTAGTGGACGAGCAGTAGCTTAATGTAATGTAATGTAAATGTGACGTTTTCAAGTGTACATTTATTTTACCTATGGAATAAATGATCTTTGACTTTGACTTTGACAACATTTAGCGACGATAATTAGACCACAAATTAGATAGATATAGTTAGAAAGATATATTTAGACTATATTTATCTATTGGCACAGTCAACGCAAAATATTAAACTAAGAAAAAACCTAACGAATTCATTCGATGTGGTCGTTTGTACACCGCGACGTAAAATAAGGTAAAAATATTTCATTTTAAAGAAAAAACTAATCTCAAGTACTATTAGGGATATATTTCAATTTGTATTTATTTTTTGCACCCTCATAAGCTATAATAGATATAAGACATTTCAGGCTTATCTATTCATAACCGGAAGCCCTGTAGAAGTAAGTACATAGGTATTCCCAATGAAATTAACTTAGCCTAGCTTGATTATTTACAACATTCAAAATTCGATTACATTTGATATATAGTATATAGAATACACATACACAGCGAATAGGGACACTTAGGACGAGTATACAATAAGCTCTAAGTTAGTAAAAATGACTCCTAATATTGTACCCATGGAGTTTGTCACGTACAAAGAATTATACATAACTTCGTTTCTTTTGTTTTGACTAGTTATATGCAACTGTAATTATACCTTTACAACCGTAGCCTAATAAAATAACCTGAATACTTCAATAACACTTCTTTTAAGTAACTAACCCCAAGTAATGTCAAGTTACCCACTAATACCTAAAATGAAATAAAATGAAATGACGCTGGTATTCTAAGGCCCGAATTCTATGTTTAAGTTTCACAAGTATTTATTATACTATATATAAATAGTAAATGTAAATAGCTCGAAATTCCTAATCTTATATTTTTCTATTACTTTCTTATGTAATGGACCATAAGAGCGGATATCTACTCAATTATGTGACCTAACAATTATTTGGTACTTTGGATTTAAGGAAAGTGTTTCTGAAGCATTTTAGGACGGACTTTGATTTGATCCGGACGGTAAGCGTCATAATACGTATAATTAAAGACTATGAAGGGAGCGAATCGTCAGAGATTTTATCATTTAGAGAAGCCTTCCTTAACCGACTTAATAGGATTCGAGTTGGAGGTATGCAAACATGCAAGGAACAAGAGCACACAAATTCACAAATTTTAGGGCATCTGTGCAAGATTCACATTTCCTTCGATATACCTCTGCGAGGAGCCGGGCCATGTCGACACATGTCATGAGAGTCTACCTAACAACCGGCGCTTCGCAGACGTTGACACCAACAGCGGGCGCGGTCAACTTCTTTGGCAATTCTGCAGCCCTGGTCTCCGTGCCAGTATCCGTTTGTGTGGCTCCGGGCGACGTGGACGTAGGGAAGACCGTATCACCTTTGCCGCCCGTCTGAGGTATCTGCTTGCAGAGTTTCGCCATCGCCGTCGCGCTATCTCGAACGCCTGCGGTCGAACGAATTAAATATCTCTTACAGAGTAATGTGACCCTACTCCGCTACTTTAACATGCATGTACTATTGTTTTCTTTTGTAATAAATTATATCTGCTACAATATTGTATATTTTACCTTACTACATAACTAATTATTCAGAATATTCGTTGAACAATGGAAATAGTTATTATTAATACAGTTGCTCAAAACTTGGTATTTTTCGTACTACAAATCGTGCCGAAAGTTGGATTTTTCGCACTAGTGCTTTTTACTTTTCCATTTTCTTTTTAATTTACTGTTGTTAAGTTAAGTTGTTAAGTCTTAAAAATATAACTAAAGAGGTTGTATATATATTTAATATTTATGTGCTTTGTGACGTAAGTCATTCGTCATTAAAACTTATATTTACACATCTTATTTGTTAAAATTGCATAGGTGTTGTATAAAACAACGGGTTACATTAAAAAATACCAAAATATTTTCCATAAAGATGACTGGTTGAGTGTTAACAATGGCCGGAGGCGAGAATTGCGCGCGACCGCTGCGCGCCGCGCCACTGAAATATACTGTTTTATTTTACTTTCAATCTAGTTTTTTCGCAAATGTATTAAAAACGTCGTTTGACACACGTGCGGCTTTGTCATTTTCACTTGTCTCGAGTCTTGACCGAGCCAGAGGCGAGACTCTGGCTCGGGCCAAGAAGCCTCGAGACTCGTGAATAATGACTAACTTTCCGCACTTGTATGAAAAATAACTATTTTGATACAAGTGCGGAAAGATAAAAAATTAGTTTTCTGCTAATAATTACTCTTTAAAAAGTAATGAAAAGATAAATGCCCTTGGTGTTACTTGCCTGGCTGGACGGGGTAAGTGGTGACAGCGGGAGATGCAGCGGTGACTGCCTGGGTCGATGCCGTTTCGCGGGACAACTCTAGTATTACAATAACATAACATGTTTATAAAAAAAAATCAACCTCGAAAGTTCGTGGAATTACGAATATTTGCCAAGTTTTATTGAATTGTTACCGGAAAGTGCGCGAAACAGGATTCATCCCCTAGTTTGCCACCTTAGAGGTGGAGTATTTTCTTTAAATGTAAGTGGGTCCAATACTGAGGTACTCGCTTTTCAACAAAAAAATAATCTAATTGAGAACCTTCTCCTTTTTTGAAGTCGGTTAAAAATATGGTTTTCACTTTTCATGCTCCTAAAGTTAGTCATCTAATACATGCAGGATCGTTGCTTGATAAAATACCTTAAATTCCTTTGTCTGTGTCCTGTATACATTTGCGAAAAACAAAAATAAAATAGTGTTTGAGATCATATTTGGTCTATTTTATTTTTCTCTGCAATAGAAATGAAGAGCACAGCGCCGACCTTGCACTCGTACGACTAAATATCTCCTGTAAAGCGGATCCAAATGGAATGGAATTATACATCCTTGTCCTGTTACAAATGATTCAATGATATTATGTACGACATAGACAAACACGACAGTACATTATTTAGCCATACAGTAAGTAGTTATAAGCCTGACTATTCAAATGGCTTTGTTACCTTTAACGCGCTTGATGCAGAAGTAGAAAAAATAACAGCAGAGCATGAGCAGTAGTATAAGGATCCCAGCCAGCGCCACGAAGTAAGCCGTGTGGCTCGGAGGCCGTGCTCCGCCGCGCGCCGAGCCCATCACGGATTGACTGGAAGCATGGTGTACTTATAACGACGACTTTGAACATTTGGGAACTTATAGATTTTAAGACTCGTGGTTATTCACTAAATGATTATCACTAATATCAGGTTTCTAGGTTTCTTACCACGGTAAGAAACCTGATATTAGAGATAATCATTTGGGAACTTGTCATATGACCTTATTGGTATATTAATTAGTCCACAAACTGTCACTTTCCAATCGTAACTTTATTTATTTATTTATTCATCTCAAGAAAACGTCGTAACGGGTCATGAATGGATGATACTATAGGTACAGTACTTCTACTATCCACAGCTCATAACCTCTGTGGTCTATTTACCCAGGACAATAAAAATACAAACTGCAAATTTAGTGGAAACCTTTTACTCACCTTCTTAATTCAACTGGTTGTAAAGAACCGCAAACTTCTTCGTTAATTGTTAACTTCTCTTCCTTATGAATAACGTTATTGATTTATTCCCCATTATTACACTTTATAAATACATAAAAACATATTATACTTATATATCGTAAAGCACTGGTACGTTTTAATGATATTTTAATTCGTTGCTAGTGTTTGAAAGTTGTTCCCTCATTTTCAATTATACAATTTTAAAAAGCACTTTCATATAAAATATTAAAGCTTTCTTGATTCACTGGATCAATAAAAAAATAGGTGGATGGTAGTGTACTGATTCACAAAAATATTTCAAAAATCTAGGAAAAAAGATTTGATGACATGAGCGTTTTTGCTGAGGCGATATGCCTCGCGGCGAACGCTGCGAGATCCTGCCGACGACTAAGCATTTACCATAAACCATGAACGGATGAACACAGTGTTTCACAAAATCTGTGCAATTTTTTTTTAGAAGTTTTGAGTTTCTCTTTCCTCTACTATTGTCCTTTTTTAAGAAAATATGAACATTATAGGGTAGTACTAGAGCACAGGTACGTGGAAATAGGTAAGGTGTACCAAATATAACATTTTCACTATCTCGTTTGTAGTTTGCTACCTCTTGTTATATCGCGCTCTTCTGACATTTGAAAATCGTTTATTTTATCCGTGCAAAAATGTTAAACGCTGTGTGATTGCCAAGTATGGAACTCTGTGTTTGCTAGTTGGAAACCGCTGCAGTCCTGAAGGAAGCGTGTGTAGGGTGTGGGAGGGGGTAGGAGGATACGGATGGGGTTAAGGCTGTCTGCGAGACAGGGCAACAAGTACCGCGACACTCCGGCGCCAGTCGTAGGGCTGCTACCAGATTTAAGTCGTGTTCTGGAGTGTCTGGAGAATCGGTAACCATTGTACGGAGATTTAATAAATTAACAGTGCCTTTACTACACCTAATGGGTGCCGGAACAAAACACAACCCTCGTGATGGAGAAGGCGGCTAAATATGTGTAGCATTTAACATTAAGGTAACTACGCAATCAAACAAGAACAACTATCGGGTTTATCGGAAATTCATGATGGTGGTGAAATAATGACAACGATCTCCACACCGAGAGAGTACCTTTGTTAAAAGTAATGCTTAATAATAAAATCTTTATTTTGGAGATGTACCCCGAGAGTGCAGTGGTGATTTTTTGCTAACGTACATTTTGTATCGGTGTCACGAGCCACCAACCCTGGCTTCAGAGGTCCAAGCGCCTAGCCGGCGCCCCAGGAGTCCGCGCACGCGCATTCGCCGCGACGACCACCACACGACGACGCGTCATACATCTTCACCCGGGTCTGCCTACAGAAGACTTGGCAACATTGTTTATGTCAGTAAAACTGCTCCTGTTGACAATAATCCTGTGGCGAATTAATTTATTTTGTGTGTATAGTCTGGCTCAAGTAGGTATTAAAATTGCTGCGAGCGCATAATCCTTGAACGAGCTATTTTTTTTGTACATAACATTAGAAATTAGTTTGAACTACTAGTGTGTAAAATATGTAAGTAAGAACGCAACCAATTTTTAATGAGTAAATATACCTAGATATCACCAGAACTACACTACTCAACGCATGAATGTATTTCGTGTTAAAAGTTGTCGGCCAAACTCCGGTTCTACGCCATGGCTCTTAGTAATGTCATCATCTTGTTGTGTAACACCACACCAATATCCATTTCATAACAATTACGTTTACCGCAAACCCGTAGGTTGCAAGCAAACCGATATAAATAAAACATACATTTGTTTTTGCGAATTACTTGTAGATTGACAGAAACGCTAGATACCTAATGTTTTAGCTTGTATAGCACGTTAACAATTTCCCCTTAGCATTTTTGCGCTCTCTCACAATTTACCAATACTGCAGTTTTATTTTGATGTACTATGTCAATGACTATTACTTATTTTATAATAATAATAACGCACACACTCAACATAGCCCCGCGCTAAGGAAACACTGTGTGTCGCAGGTGCCAAGGACACACACATAGACAACCACAAATTACACCCAAACTCACGAGAGAAATAAATGTAGGCCATACAAATATCGGGAATCGAACCTGGGACCTCTGCGTGCCAGTCCAGCATGGTAACCGCTCGGCTACGGAGGCAGTTAAGTTTATATTTTTACATCATGAGCAGTCATAGTCGTTTGCTATACAGGGTGGTAGTGGCAGCGACCCGAAGGCGAAAACAGTGGACTCAGACCATGATTCTTATTTGAAATTCATTAGAATTTTCTTCCGGAAAATTAAAAAATTTTCCGGCATTTTATCAATTAAATAATATTTTTTTTAATGTAAATAACATGGTCTGTGCAGATACAACCCATTATTAAATAAAAAAACATTATACATTGTATAAAACATAAAGCTCGCAATGTAAAACGTAAACAAATTTAGTGCGTATCAGCTGTTTCTCGTGTGTCGGCATTACGTTACGCGGCAAAGCGTTTGAACGATGCCGCTTTGCAGGATGAAAGGCCGCCGACATCAATGAAATAGGGATGCACATTACGATCGAATTTTGTGAAAATCGGTTCAAGTGAATACGATCTAGCAATTTTTGAAACGATTCATTTAAATACGATTTTTAAGTGAATGGATTCAACATTCAGGTAAATCGAATCGTCTAGATCATATTCATAATTTACAAACAAAACAAACTAAATAAAAGCACCATTTAGACGTCGAGTTAACGTCGTCATAATTAATTTGTTATGGGTCAGTCAGTAAATACGTAATAATGATAATTGTTTTCAATGAAGCAAAATCGATTACCTACTTGTCATACGCGCAATAAAACTGTCACTCAACGTCAGGACGCATCGATTTAGATAGTTTTTATTAAGAACGCCGTTAAGCCGCGTGTAATATAAACACATGAAACTCGAGAACCAATTACGATACCGCAAAAAGAATACACGTGCGATAAAAGCACTTATTAAGCTTTTGTTTAGACTACACTTATGATTGTGATTCGCCGCTTTTAAATCTGATATTTTGACTACATTTAATAGTTCTGCGATTTTTTCGTAGTATTTTACGATTTAACTTTTAAACTTTTTGTATAATTCACTTTATAAAGGAACAAAACACGTTTAAAGGTAACGAGCTTTTAAATACCTTTCGATTAACGCCAAAATCATTTAAAAATATTGTTTCACTATTTTTAAAATAAATTAAAAACAGTCGCGTGTAGCGGCGAAATTAGCAAAAAATTCGCGATAATGGCGTAAATACCTATTAGTCGCGAGGAAAAAAATTTACGAATCCAGTCACATTTCTCAATGTAATGATCTAAAAATGGGTTTAATACAACTTTTAAATAAACATTAGTGTTTGAGTGATATTTTACTCTAAAAGGTCGTTTTTTAATAAGCTATTTTTTTTTCCGAAAAACTACGATAAGGTAAAACGACCTCCGCTATGACGTCATTTTTTCCAATAAGTTTGTGATTCCAATAAGATATCAGATGTTAATGTTTTAGCACCACTAGAAAAAGCAACTCACCGCGATCATTTTTATAATACTTACGGAAAGAAATAGTCATGACATTCGTTTAAACAGAAATATCATCAAACGACAACCATCCTCGCAACCGCGGCACAAAATGTAATTTTGTTTTTTTTTTTACTCTTTTATCTACGATTTGTAGAAATGTGCTAATTATAACAGTATATCAAGTATTAAACTGTGAAATATTAGTAAAAATTGGTGTGAATACGTGTAGCCACACTAAAGTTATAAGTAAAACAGTTCACCAATCGGGTGCGAAATGCCTTGGTAGCTTTAGCTACCAGCGTCTGTCGCCCGGAAATTTCGTGTGGTAGCTAGCTAAAGCTACCAGCGTCTGAGGAACGGTTCCATGGCATTGCATGTCATTTTGCAACACTGGCGTAAATGTAATAACATTTACGCCAGTGTTGCAAAATGACACGCCGTAAGATAATAAAGTTATGATTTTATGCATTGAGAATTTATTTTTAAAGTACAGTCAACAGCACATCAGACTACACACTGACATATCTTATTCCGTTGCACTGAGGGCGATATTCGAACAAAAATGTGTAGTCTGATGTGCTGTTGACTGTACCTGCATTATGTTTAATTGTTTGTTTAGTATAAACAATGCGGATAACTAAATAGTGTCGGCATTTGCCTGTAATCGATTTTGCTCGATAAAAAACAAATATCATTATTATCTATTTACTGACTGAGGCATTTGTTTAAATTATAAATACGAACTAGACGTTGAATCGATCTTCATAAAAATCGAATCGTAATGTTCATCACTAAAACTGCGCTGGAGTGTCCTATCCCTATCAGTTCGGCCGCATATGTTCGTGAGTTTGGACGTGTGAAATAGCGATAACCGATCGTTCGCGAATTTTCGTCGTGGAGTGTGATTGTGCTTTTCTGTTCAGGTGTTTTTTTGTTTATTATGGATCGTCGCCGTAGTGTACCGTTTACGGCCAGCGAATACGGGAAAATGCTGATGTGTCTCGGTGAAGCTCGAGGGAACGCATCACTGGCCCTCAGACTTTACGTGGAACGATATCCTGGCGTTCGTCATCCACGGGATAGCCGCACCATTACGTTGGCTTATCAAAGGGTGCTCGAGAATGCTCCAATTGTGCCGCATCAGGAAGGAGCTGGCAGACCACTTCGTTCTCGTTCAGAACAGGCAATTTTGGATTTAGTCCGGCGTAATCCGCGCCTGGGAACCCGTACTGCTGCAAAGCAATTACGACGACACCATGGCCCACATGTATCGCATTGGAGTGTGCTCAAAGCGTTACACAAAAGCCGGCAACGCCCATACCGTATTCATAAAGTGCAAGCTCTGGTACCTGGGGACGCACTTCGCCGAGTAGCGTACTGCAGATGGCTGGTGAACATGCAGCGGCAAAATACCCACTTCATCTCACGGGTGATTTGGACTGACGAATCCACGTTCACGAGGAATGGCATGTGGAACCGGCGAAATGCTCACATTTGGTCGCAGACCAACCCGAACGCATTCCAGCAGACGGGGCACCAGACGCGCTGGTCATTGAACGTGTGGGCTGGAGTGTATAATAATAAAATACTTGGGCCAGTGTTTTTACCGACGCGCATGGATGGGCAGCGTTACTTGGAATTTTTACAATCAGAATTCCAGATGCTTGTGGACGGTCTAAACACCGAATTACTCGCAGAATGGGACGATATGGAGGATGTTCCCCTGGCCAGACTACCTATCCCATGGTTTCAACATGATGGCGCCCCTCCACATGCCGTACTTCGTGTTAGAGAACATTTACAAAATGTTTTCCCGAATCGCTGGATGGGAAGGTTTGCGCCTCATCCGTGGCCAGCTCGCTCGCCCGACCTGACCCCATTGGATTTTTTCCTGTGGGGCTACATTAAAGAACGAGTGTACGTCACCGAGTGTAACACTGCTGCTCAGATGGAGCAACGTGTTAGGGAAGCTTTCACTCAACTAAACCGGCACATAGTTGAAGATCCCGACATGATGCTCCGTCTACACGCAGAAACACTACGACGTGCACGAATCTGCGTGCAACAGGGCGGCAACCATTTTGAGCCGTATCTTATACGGCCCGAGAGAGAAACTGTCTAAGGTAAAATTTAAGAATCTCATTATGTACCTACTTACTAAAATCGTTATTCATACAAGTCAAGTGTTTATATCACAACTTACTCTTATTATGGCGTAGATGTGCGCGTTATAGGTATGGCGGCGAACACACAGTTGCGTTTCTTGCGCATCGCGCTGTTAGCAATACATTGCGTAGCGAAAAACAAAAAAAAAAATGAAAAATATTCGTTTTGCTTTTCCGGGAGAAATTACCTTTGATTTTCAAATATGAATTATGGTCTGAATCCACTGTTATCGTCTTCGGGTCGCTGTCACTACCACCCATATATATACGTAACATGGGTATACGGGTAATAATCACACCCGACATGCTATGACGTAGTAGGTACTATTTATCTTTATCATCCATGTATATATCTACAACATGTTTACAGTCATGTCGTCCGACAACAGTGATTCAATATTTTTCAAGTAATCTCACTCTACAGATAATTACTTTTTCGATCGTTGACTTTAGCGTGAAGTTAGTAACGAACGGTGACGCCTACCTACGCCCGGTACTGTTTTGTTGCTCTGACGGAGGTTGCAGTGCTCACCGTTTGCCAGTCGGCGTCGGCTCATCGCAGCTCCAGTCACGTACAACTCACTGGCGTTGCAGCACGCGCTACTTAGTCCCGCTTGAAAACCGCAAAAAAGTCAACAAACATAGTCTTTTATTCAGATTTGTCTCATTTTAAAGATCGCAATTTGAATCACTATTGTTCTAACGTTGTGAACTTGTTGACGGACAGTGTTGTGTGTGGCGTGGGGGTTTGTTTTGTGTGATATCAGCTGTGACGATGACCAAAGACCGCACCAGTGAATTTCAAATGGCTCGTGATTACAACGAACCGAATAGTGGAAAAAATCGCAAAAGTGACTGTAAAGGTTTTCAGATCAGCGGAATGGAGGAAGACTGTAATTGGATAGCAGCAATGGAGACCATTATTAAAGCGATTAAGAAGATACATAGAGAAATCTTGTTGACTATACAAACAGATAAAAGTTGTCAGAATGAGCTCGAAAACCTCATGACTGACATGCAGATCGCAGCGTTTAACCTGCGAGAGCGATTGCACGAGATGGAAAAAAACATAGAACAGAAAGAAAAAACGTACAATTCACTCGACGAAGTACCTTCAACAAAGAAATCAGAACCAGCAAGCTTGAGAATGATGCGAATTAACCATTCGACAATAAAGCACAAATTTTGTACGATAATGAAAGAGTACAATAGTATGCAGCTCGAATATAGGGACAGATGTCGTGAGAGGATTCGCAGAGAACTTCACGTCATTGGACGAGATGTGACGGATCACGAACTGGATGAACTTTTGGAGCAACCTTTGGAGAATGTGTTTGTGGACGCTCTAAACGAGCGGGCGCAGCTGACGATGAACGATGTTGAAGCAAGACATCGCGACCTAGTGAAATTGGAACAGTCAATTCGCGAAATGCAAGAACTGTTCCTGAACCTGTCGATCATAGTCGAGAAGCAACAAGACATAGTAGACCACATCGAGTTCAACGTTAGCGCGACTCAAAATTACGTTGGACGAGCCAAAGAAGAAGTCAGGCAAGCTGAAAGGACACGGATCAGGGCTAGAAAGAGGACTTTGTGTTTGCTTGTTGGATTGGCAGTTGTTGTGGCTGTGATTGTTGTTATTCTTTCATTTTAAAATTCAAGACTGTTTCATCCCTTATATATCCCACAGCTGGACAGGAGTTTCTTCTATGTCTAAGTACACTACAAAGACACGTTTAAGGTTAAAGTAAAGTAGAAAAATTCGTTGAGAAAAGGTAGTAATGTTTTTATTTTATTATTTCCGTAAGTTTTGGTTGCGATTAAAAATAACTTCAAGCGTAACACGCATGACACACTGCAATTATAAAATTGTTTAACCACAAATCCGCAAAGATTCTTCGCCGATCGCCGCAGTACTACATTGTTATAATGGTATGTATTGACTATATGTATTATTTTTGTTTAAGTCAGCGTGTTGGTCCATGTTTGGGATGGCCGTGAACTGCGAGCAGGGCACTTATTTAGCTGCACTCATTCCGCTACTGCGATCAATTAGCGGTATGTGTTTTAGATCTACGTTACCAAATAACCTCAGTACAGAGTGGGTACTAAAAAAATCGACGTTTTATTCGGTTACCGGAAAGTGCGCAAACCGGATTCATCCCCTAGTTTGCCGCTTAAAGGTGGAATATTTTCTTCAAATTTAAATGGGACCAATCTCTGAGGTAGGTACTTACTGTCTCTTTCCAACAAAAAAGAATTATCAAAATCGATTCACAAATTATCCGAAGTTATCGAGTAATATACATACAAACAAAAAAAGATAAAATACAGTCGAATTGATAGCGTCCTTCTTTTTTTGAAGTCGGTTAAAATATGGGCTGGCGTGACCCGATCACAGTGATGGTATTATTATATATTTCGTAAACTTTTAGTTTAGCTTTCTGATATAACACGAGTTGTTTAAACCAAAACGATAAAGTGTAAAAGAAGAAACACGCATAAACAGACACAAAGTAATGCACTTATTTTGGTATTTATCGTTATTTTAAACTTAGGAAAAGTAAGCTTTAAATTAAAATTAAGTAAGATTTAATTTATATTTATAAAACTACGATCTGTGAATAATCTAATAAGTGACGTAATTAAATATGAAGGTGTACCTTCCCACGTAAAATGCTTTGATTTAACGTATTTAAGTAGATCACAGTCTTAGGCTCAACTCACACTGGCGCAGAGTCGAAGCGTCGCGTCCTGTTTTTCAACTACGACGCTTGGCGTCGCGCGACGACATTTGCGCCCGGCGGTCGGCGTCTGTCGCCTCACTGCGCTCGAGTGTATCCGCCCGTTCCCATATTTGCAGAACACTTAATAATGGGAAAATAGTGAAGTATAATACACTATGGGCGAAAAACAAGACGCGTCGCAACGCTTCGACTCTGTGCCAGTGTGAATTGAGCCTTACACCTTCTGTGTAGTATCTACAGTGAATGTAAGTACAGTCAGCACCACAGCGATCATTAACGTTTTATGTAAACCTAGTGGAAGGAATTTATTGTATTTTTTATTCTTATAGCATTCAAGAGCAAAACTATATGTATGTGTATATGGGTAAAATAAACGTTGACAGCTTAATACGTTCTATAACCCTCTTCACTTTGTGTAGTGTTTCACACGTAACTAGCATCAAAAGTATTTCATAATTAGTACATACGAAAACAGATCAATTTAAAACCACGTTTTCCGTGTTGAGCCTCTCGAGACGGTAATATCAGGCAGTATGAAACTTGTGTTAAATGTAATTATGACGTAACATTTCCTGTTAGATCCCCATGACTAAGAGCGATCACAGCACTTCGCCGCCAAGACTCGCGCGCACGGGCCTTTCCCGGCGACCGTTCTCAACAATAGCTGTTTACATTAATTACATTAATAACCTGTTGTGGCGTGAATCCCGCGCAAACCACGCTGCGAGTCCTTGATAATATCGAAGGGAATTCCTCGACAAAAATGTTACTCTCAATGTTTTGAAATACAGATTTTTATATTACTTTACATTTCAGCGTATTGCTTGAATTTGAGTAAAACAAGGACCTTCCCGACTAACAAATTACCTACTCTTGTTAATCGAAGCTCTTAATTCTTCGAATCTTGAATCTTTGAGAATGTAAGTGCAGCTTACAATGATGCCAAAACAACGTCAAAAGCAAACATAAAAAAGTCTTAAAAAGGCGCACAAGATTAAATTTTATGATCTTAACCATAGCACATCGACAAGTAAGTATGCTTAAAAGAGCACAACATATGACTTAAACTCTAATTTAAATACTTAAGTCTTAATAAAGTTCCAACCGCTCTGTGAAAATGCGCAAATAAATATTATTCATGTAGGTTACTAATGCTGGTGTTAAATTTATTGGAAGCCCGACAAATGCTTGACGCTCTGTACGCGATGATTAGCATTGATTAGGATACCAATTATTTCTTTATTTAGTTGGAATTCCCAAATAGATATTATTTACCGTTTCTGCAGACATGATGATTCGCCATTTAATATCTCGAGTCTATTGTTATTAATTTAGGGTAGAATTGGGTATTACCGCACGGATATTTCGCGCCTTTGTATATCTCAATAAATACACGCTACTTAGAGTTAACAGTGAATTGTAAAGTACGACAATTTTATTTGGCAAACATGTTGATTGGAAGAAGGAGTAGAAAAAAAGAAACGAAGTTACAGAAAACCTGCTAAGAGAAAAATTTCGAAGCAGCGTTATTTACGTGAGAAGGAGAAATTTGTACATTTCTGCCACCTTACCTATTTCTGCCGCCAAGCAATAATGTCAGCATTGCTGTGTTCCAGTTTTGAAAGCTATGAACGGTGCTGGTGAAATTACAGGCACATGGGAATTGTCAACTTATGTCTCAGAGTGACTGGCGCAGTGGCAGAGTCCCTACGATCTTTGCGATTTAAAGCTCTGGGAGGCACTGCAACTGTTATGGATAGGCGTGTCGCTTGGTAGTTAGGCGTCACTTGGTATAATAAAAAAACATATAAAAATTTAGAAATAATAAAGATAAGCAAAAATTACAAAGGAAAAAATAAAACTTAAATATATCGAAAGAATGTATAGACAGCAGTGAAGTATTTTTAAGATTGAAGATGTAAACGTCTTCACTTTCATTCAAAAAGCTACTAAGTCTGCCAGTTCTTTAAGAAATCTTTTTTTTTAAGAAACTAAATAACAAAGAAGGCAAATATTATTCACCTATCTATTTGTTTAACTTTATTTGTTATTAACATTTTAATATTCGATTATCTTGCTGTAAAAGATAAGAATCTAGACTCTTTATTAACACACACGAGTATATGCCAACTTAAATATTTGTTTTTGTATTTATATCACATAAATTTATTGGGGCACGGTTTTATTAGACCTGAGCACGATATTATCGGACCAGTTCGATAATAGCGCGTTTTCCCATTTTTGGGTAATTTGCAACAATTGCCTTTGGTATTTATTTATGTTCATTCACCTGATATGGACATAAGAACATAGAAACAGCTAAAGTGAAGTGGGGGGTTTAGGCGAAAAGTTCTCGCAATCAGCGTTGCCAATTTGTGGGGAATTCCCCAAATTGCGGGAAATTTCAACTACATTGGGGATTTTGTGGAGATTGGCGCTATGTTCAGAATGTAACATTTTATTATTTTGTTTAATCTATCGATTGCTGATGCATCGTTAATTTGATCGTTACTGTTAGAAACACTTGTTGAACTATATCGACGCGATTTTCAATATCGCACATCTCTCGCATTATTAACAAGCAGCTTAAATAGAATTATTATCGGAGCACTTGGTTCTGAATTGTAAAATGACCAGTCGGTGCGTGTTAAGTTCGCGATCCTTGCTCCCACTTTGGCCAATCCCCGATATGAAGAAAAACTAAATCAGCTATTGATAAATAAAGCCGAGCAGTTGGTACTTCCACACCGCAACTTACCACTCGTCAACTTTAAATTAAATATTAAATATAGGCCGAAACTTAATTTACTCATTGATTATTTCTAACATAGTGCCACCAAATGGGCAACAACATTAAGTTACTTAATTTTGTACGGCAAAGAAAAAATTTTTTTTTTTTTTTCAAAAATTGATTAATGTGAAATCTCGTTAAAATAAATAAACGATTTAAGGTCATCTAATTTTATAATTTGCTTTACATTTTACATTTATGTTTACATTCACAGCAAACGTAATAGACAGGTACATTTTGAATTTGTGAATTCTTTATTATATTTTTAAGCGATGTATTTGTAATATAAATAATGAAAACTCGATGTGTGGGGAATTTGTGGAGAGGTTCATATTGAACTTTGCCTTCCCCAAATTTGAGGATTTTAACCGTGATTTTTTTGGGGATTTTGAACAATTGGCATTGAGCTTGCAATATACTTACTTATAAAGAATAGCAAAGAAAAATACTAATTTGTCACTCGATACCCAACAGTTTTCGTACAGATTTTGAAGAAACTGAAACGCAGTGTATGGTTCCGTGGATTTAGACATACAAAAACATCCCTTTCCGTCTCTTGGAACTACAAGACAGAAATTGTGGCGGTGACGGAAATAGTAGTTTAGCAGAAATTTTGTTTTCTTCTGGTAATAATTGTGAGTTTGAAGATGTCTCAAATGAAAACACAACTCATAGTTGCGGTAAAAATATTTTTAAATGCTTTTGTAAATTGTTGCTCTTGTAAGTTATAGATAAAACGGTATGTATTGAATGTGATGCAAAACTGTTCATTTGTTGTTATCAATGTGTGTAAACACGTTATAAAATTATCAAAAATATTATGGTTCGTATGTATTGTATTTTGTCATTAACAAACCTTTAATCTACAGTTTCCCAACGTGAATATAGTTTATAAAAAGATTAATAAAAAATAATTTAATAATTCTGGTAATTAAAAATCGTCATCGTAGTTTGGTAATAGCTTCAGCTTGAAATCTTGAGCATCTTGAGTAAAATGCTGCAGCTTGTAGCAGAAAAAATGTTTCCACTGCCGCGCGCCGGTGGCCACTGAATGCATTGTGTACATCATAAATTCGTAAGTCTTTATTAGTTAAAAAAGTGTCGATTTCTTTATACATTGACATCACCATATTTATACTTTTAATTGTGTTGAATTTTTAATTTAAATAATTATTTTTGTCTTAATTCATAAAAATTTTAAGGGCTTTGAAAATTTATCGATAACCCATATACCTACATGCGTTATTATTCTATGCCTAGGGTAGGCCGGAGGCAAAAGTAACAGGGGGCAATGAAACATTGTCTATATTTCGAAAAAGGTTAGTCGTTTCACGCGTGTGTGCTTGTACTTACTCCTGAAACACTTTCGATCGACTGTTATAGGTCATTTTGTATTTCCATGTGTTCAAGGTAAGAGCATATTGATTTTGAAACACAAATTATTCAACTTTTAACAAAGAATTTATATGTGTAAGATGGTAACTAGGTTTCTAAAATATCAAAAATTGTGTTAATATTAATCTGTGTATGTATTTTACAGTAGTTTTGAAGATGCAGTTGTAACACATATGCCGGAGGCAATTGTGCCGTTACAATTGACCCACTGTTAGAATTGACCCTGTGAGCATTTTTTAAATTATATTTTTTATTGTTTTATAAAAAAAATAAAATAAAAGCATATTACAGCATATTATTTAAAATGCAAATTAACTTGGAGATTGTGAAAATGCTCAAGTATCATTAATACGCGTAGATACCTTCGATTAACGACTTCATTTGCGCCGCAGGCAGAGGAGAAGTGCTAAGAATAAAGAGCACAGGTTTACGGACAAGCCCTTCCTTAGAACATAGTCTGCAAACATTTTATATTGTAATCTATGATATACTAACAGATACTTTAATATTATGCTCTGGGGTTAATAGTAACAGAGGGAGCAGTTGTCACAAACAACATCTCATTCAAACTAAAAACTAATTTTTGAATACAAAATTTCGCATTTAGGTTAATTGTGTTTAGAATAAGTATATTATAACATTGACTTTTTAATACCTATAAGTTTTTCTGGATTAATTTCAAATTCCTGGCAGTAAAAAGCATTGCTATTAAAATTAAGACAACTGTTTTTGTTTGTTTAATTCTTTGAGGATGGAAAAAAGAGGTTTAATTACATGTTTTTAATTGTCAGTATTATTAATACTGTCGTATCTCATTAAAACATGACTAAAATGAGGTTCATTTTAATAATAAAAACATTCGTACTTTTTTATATTTTCGCTGCGTTTTATTATTTTCAAATGGTGTTATTTCTATACCTTGGGGGGCATTAGTAACAAATCCCCCGTCTCACAAAACCTTTAAAATCTACATTTTCAAAGCTTATGCTTTGTTATTATTATTGATTAATCACTAACAAACGTTTGTTGCCAAATATATTTACCTTACCTTACACGGGAAATATTTTAAGGGTATGTATACGTTAAAGCAGTTCTATAATCGAAGTGTGCCTAAAAAGTGTTACTTTTCCCTCCGGTCTACCCTCCATATTGACAAAGACTTACCTGCGTATATATCTATGTATATACATATTTTATCCCAAATGCAGTAAGTAATAATAATAACGTACACACTCAACATATAGTACTTATAGTAGGTATTTAAAAAAAATCGTAAGCCGCAGTATTTGCTTCAATTCACAACATAACTGACTTTCGGTATCATAACTGTCATAGATTGGCACTGTTCAAGATTTGAGTCACAAAATATTGGCGCTCCCATAAATTAGTACGTTACCATACCCAATGCTGACACAGAGCAGAATCAATACTAGAAGTCTTATATGTTGTGTCCAAATCGGGACTTACTTAAGAGACTACAAAACTATGTGATGACTAATGTACCTACTATGAGTAGATTTTGAAAAAAACTCATTGATGATATATTTAGATGCAAGATGCATCGGTATTCTTGGCAATTTGAGTAGTACAGATAGCTGCAGACAGCACTTTAAACAATTTAAAATTTTGACTTTGTGTTCTATATATATTTTAGAAATTTGTAAATTTATTAAACAACACCCTGACTTTTACACTAACACTGACGACCTGCCTCAACGACACACTTTTAGACCACGCAATAGATTGCTTCTGCCACGATCTCGGCTACACATATATAGCTCAAGTCCCCACTCGATGTGTCGGTGAGGTTATTCAATGAGCTCCCGCCCATTATCAAAAGCGAGGAAAAATATTTACTGTTTCTAAATAAATTTAAATTACATCTTATTAATAAATGCTATTACAATTGAAATGAATACTTTGATGACAAATAAAAATAATAATATTATAATAAATTTGAATAATAAATAAATGTGTTGTCAACGATCCTCATGTAACTGAGCATGCGGAGTCGTTACAGCTTCGCAGAGATATAGCGTCTCTTAGCGTATTCTATCGCCTGTACCACGGTGAGTGCTCTGAAGAGTTATTCAACCTTATCCCTTCCTCTCCTTTCCATCAGCGGACCACCCGTGCCGGACTGCGTTGCCACAGTTGGACGGTCAGTTCAATACCGTCCCGCACTAAAAAGTTTGGCAATTCGTTTTTATGCCGAACCATCAAATTGTGGAACCAACTCCCGGCGCATGTATTCCCTCCCCTCTATAACATCGGGTCCTTCAAATGTAGTGTGAAGAAGCATTTGGCCAGACCGGCAAAATGATAGTGACGGAGTGAAGATATTTGTGTTTTCCATCCGTTACTCTCATCTCTGGACTGTATTCGCACTTTCCATCAGGCGCGGTGCAGTCATTTTGCCGAGTCACAATAAAAAAAATAAAAAAAATACACTATAAAAATATGCTACTATAGTAGCAGTACAGTAGCATGACTTTATAGTATATAATTATATATCTATAATTATAATCTAATTAAATTCAAACTTTCAAGTGACATAATTCTACTCATAATATGACGTATTTCTTTATTATTATATGACATTTTTTTAATATTATTATTTGATAAATAACAATTTTAATTAATAATTGAAACCTCGGCCTACCTCTGCTGTTATTGTTGACCCTAATAAAGGGCTCATATGTGTAGCATTATTTTAAATTTAAGACATGTTTACCATATGAATGCAATAAATATATTGAGTATTGAGTATTTACGACTATTTTTTTTATTGTATTATTGGTCGCAGCAGCTTGTCACGAGCACTTGCGAAAGGTCTAAAAGCGGTCTAAAAGCAGTATTCATGAGAAGTCACTAAAGTTTTACGTCGAAGTAAACTCAATGTTAAAGTGCGAAGGGAACGCTTCACCAGCGGTAACATAAAACAAAATGGGTATCTATCGTTGAGATAACAAGTAGTACGTATTACCTTAATGGTACCTATTTAATATTAAAAATATTACTACCTCGTCTTAGCGTAACAACACAATTCCTGCAATTAGTAACATTAAATAACAAAGGTCGCCTACGTCATTCAGTTGGTAAGGAAACTCATCCTCATCATAGACGTAATAGTGTGACGAACCCTTGTAATACGTGTACATAATTTTAAATACATACACATACATTTAGCCACTGTGTTCTTACGGTGTCGTAATATAGGTTGTTATTGGTGACAAAAACGAGAAATAGTTGCATTTCTAACATTATTTACGTATACAAGTACGGCGAGGTATCCTGTACTATCACGGGCACGGAGGTCTCTCTTTGTAATTTTCAGGCAAGTTTTGTGTACTCAATTTTGGTGAGAATTTTTATTATTTATAGACTCGAATATATCATCGTGAAATATTAAATAATATTTCAGGTTACCACACTTGAATATTAAATAATACTTTATGATGGTATTCTACAAATATTTAAACAAACCTTTTACACTGAAGATCTGAAATAAGACCGTCTAAACTATGAGTTTAGCCATAGGCCCCTTTTCGTAGGCTGGAAATGTTACCTATTCCAAGTTTTGTACGTAAATCTCAAAACAATAGCCAGTGTTCAGGAAAGCAATTGTCATGATACCAAGTAATATGAGAAAGGCCGAAAAGACAAAAGGACAATATTACTTATATACCTTATAATATACCTATACTTAGTAATACGTTATTTCAAGGAAATGTTACAACATGGCTAGTACTAACATGTACACGTACAACAACATAACAAAACTTCAAATTATCGCTGATAGAACAAAAATCTAGAAAAACTAAAGAAATCGCTTTTGGTTTGTGCAGCATCAAAGAAGTTTTCGTGTAACAATAAAATGCCAGGCAACCACACCAAACAGGGTACCTTTCTTTAACTAGAACTTTTTTTGTACGTACAAATGAGTGCCAGAGCAATAGAATTCTCTCTGAGGCAAGTACACTCAGTCCAGGAAAACCCGGGTCCTCCTCATCCAACATATTTCTTAATAATGTAGTAGGTACGTATTAAGAATTAATATTTCATTAACGTTGGTACCTACATTTACTTTTTTGTGTGCCGACAAGGGCGGTAACAAATGAACGAGTGCTGCACTTAGATATTGGTTACTAACTTGTCTAAAACTTTGTCCTATTTAACGACATCTTATACCTACAAATAAAACAATTTTATTTACATTTCAACAAATGAATCGAAGGAAGAAAAGGAATGTTTACGTTAGGCGGGAATCCGCGTGAACGCAGTGTTATAACACTTATATTTAGACAATTTAAATTGGTCAATGGCGAGAGACAGTGCCGCCGCCAGCGTCGGCGTCAGCCCCCGTCGTCGTCGCTTAGGCAATATTCTCTACGAAATTTGGAATGTAAGTACTTTTAATTTACATTTTTGTGTCAAAATATTATCAAATACATGCGTATGGGTAGTAGACTTTGTATTCCCCGGCCCTTATCCCGCAAAGTAGAAAATCACCTACAAAACATTTGGAAATACTCATCACGTTGTTGTCCAACTATAGGGTGATTATGTTATGTGCGTTATAATAAGCCTTTGTACATATACGAGTTACATAATTAGTATTTTAACTGTTAGACTTTATATGAATAGTTTACAAACAACAGATTCTGTTTGCCAATATGCAGAGTATCTTACTTCAAAAATACTCATCATACAATCCCACGCCATTTCACACTATAGTCTATTTTCTTACTCATTTGCATATCTCAAGGTGCGTTTGGACCAGAAAGTGTGTAAATAAATAAAGCTTGCGAGGGACGCTTAGTGCCGTGCGCTTTTACGACAGGTCGCAGTGGGACAATGCAGGCGCGCTCGCAGGGATCGGCTTCGGCGCGCTGCTGCTCGTCCTCGGCCTCGCAGCCGGCATTTGGTGGTACTGCAAAAGGAGGCACCGCAGCTCCTCGCAAGGACACGGTAACTCATCCTTCTATTTCTCATTTATTATCAAGTCGATGGTTTATATTCAACCGTGAGAGTTACATTATCAGTAACAGTTAAGTGGACCAACCCAATCCAACATGCCCAGTTGTGAACAGTTAAGAGAAAAAAAACTTTCTGTTCCTTATTTATTTATTGTAACATTTAGAAAAATTAGATATTTTTAATGGTTTCCAGTGATAACATTGTCTCCTGATCCGAAACATCAGCACTCGGTGTACACCCAACAACCCAGCGGCTACCAACAACAGCAAACCGGTTATTCACAGCAGCAAACCGGTTACTCGCAACGCCAAACTGGCTACCCACAGGTGCCAATGATCCAAAACGATGATGTTGCTACCGTTGATCTCGAGATAAGCGACGCGTTCTCCGTGCCCCGAGTCGCCCCAGATCGACCTGCGGCAAGACCAGTGGGTCGCGCCCAGAACACTGCGACACTGAACGGTAAGATCTGTTTAAAAAATTGCGAGTTCGATTTTAACTCAGACATACGATGTAGCGATGTTTTACTTGTGTGCTAGGACTGGATAAGCTATTTAGTTTAGTATAATTGTGTGGTTGTTTGTTACTCATTAGGTACAACTCATAAGGAAAATGGAAGTAAATAAATAAATCGTTTATTACATAAAATGTACTTGGCTATAAAAACCCCGCAAATCTGCAGAGCAGTTTATTGGCGGGGACTCACTCTTATTATAAGCAATAAACCTAAGTATATGCCTACTTTACCTATCGTACCTACGTCATAAAATACTCTCATAGAAAGTGCAAAGCGTTTTTCGCTTTCTTTTTGAATGTTAATTTAGATAAATTATTTCTAGTTTTTTGACCAACGTAATTTATAGTTCTAAGTATAATATAATAATATTCTTCATGGTTAACAGATCTAGTGGTATAAGAATGTTCAGCACAATTCTTAAACGTATCCCTTCTATATTCCTCTAAAGCTAATAAACCGAGAATAATTTCACACAATTTTTGCATCATTTTTCCTTTGCATTTTTATCCACCAACAATTTGAAGTACCTTATTAGTAGTTACGTATACGCCTATGCCAGATGAAGTTATCGTGTAACTGAAAGATTTTTGCCTGCATAAGTCGATATTTATTTGGGTTCTTGGCCTTACATATAAATAAAAAAAATATAAAAACATTTTTAATGAAATACTTTCCTTTTTTAAATTTCAGTGTCGAGTGCGTTGGCGCCGCCCGCCCTTCCCTCTCGCGCGCCGTCTCCCTTCAGTCCCATGCGGTCCCCGCACGAGCTCTACGACTGATACAATGGAAATACTTCGTCCGGTTACTTAAAAGTGACCAATTATAAAGAAGGCTTTAATAGGTAGTTCTTGCACCGGTTGAGTAAACCCCCATATATCTGTGTTGGGCTCTTCTTTTACATTAGTTTCTTCACAAAATCAATTGTAATAGCTTAAATTATTTTATGATGTACCTAGATAATTGAGTGAATTCTTATACTATAATACAACGCATTTCGTAATATAATAGATAGGTAGGTAGTAATATAATAAATAGCTCGATGAAAGTAGGTAAATCTCTTTTAGTTAACTCATAACAAGTATGAACTCTTCAAGTAAATTTGCCAGCACTATAGTAGGCACTTAGGTTGAGAACATACAGGGATTGTGACCACCAATTCTAAGTTAAATTACTTTATTACTTAATACTTTATAAAATAAACGCAAAACAAAAAGCCACGTGATTTTTCTTTAAAAAATGCCAAAGAAAAAAAAAGTAGATTTTTCTCCAGTAACACATAGGAACTTCTGCTGCCGGAGGCATCAGGTGCAACATCAACTTAGGTATAATGCAGATGACGATGGGTCTTATGACTTATAAGATACTTATGAATATTATATTTTTTGCAATTAATTTTCAATACAACGAAAAATATGTGTTTTAAATACAATATAATGACTTTAAACTGTTTTTCATTACATGTCAAATCGATAAAAATCACAAAATCATTTTGAGCAACTTTTGAGGTGAAATACTCTGTGCGTCGTCCGCTTCCTGTGCGTAATATTTATAAATACTTGTGAAAGTGTTATTTTTGATATATAAAGTTGATCTCAAGTAAAATAATTAATCAGAGAAGACTGAATGTTAATAGCAGTAGTCATAACATTAATAATAATGAGTAGAAATTATAGTTCCTCAACTAGGTCAATGTCCTCAACTAAGTAATTTGTAATAAGGAGACTGAACTTTAACTAACTTCAATATAAGGCAAGGTTTGATTTTTTTCTATTGTTTATTGTCAATCGAAATGTGATTAAGGGTTCATATATCTGGGAATAATATATCTGGGATTTGAACAAATAAATAGTACAGGAATTTTCTTTGTTTTATTCTAATTTTATAAATGTACGAAATTAATATATCTATATAAAATACTATATTTTCTCATCTCTTTATATTCCCAATCCAATTAACAGTTTGTCCGACTTGGAAAATAGAAATAATTTACTCCGTGAATAAGCAGTTGTGTATACAATAAACAGTGGGACTCGAACTCCTACCTTAGCCATCATCATGTGCGCTTGTAATACCAGTGGCATTACCCAGTCGTTGATAACACTCCAGAAGGGAAGGAAGCGAGAAAAGTAAAGGTAGGGAATTAGGGCACCGATACTCTCCAAAACCTTAAGCAATGCAGCATGCTGCTAAAATACTAACAAATTGTGAGTTTCGACTGTATAAAACATTAGAGATTAGCATCATTAAGAAGTGTATTTTTAGCAAAAACTGCAATCACAAATGGAACTCCCTTCCGGCACATGTCTTCCCCCCCTCTTATGATATGGGGTCCTTCAAACGAGGCGTGAAGAGGCATATTGCAGGCAGGCAGGGTGGAGGCGGCTAGTGCAGTGAGGATTCCATCGCTGCACTAGGTTCCTTCGCGTT